CTCTCTCATCGATGTTTCTAACTCTCTATCTCTCTCCCTTCCTCTCTGTAGAAAATCAATAAAATATATTTAAAAAAAAAACATAGATTAAGTGTGTTTATTATTGTGTCCTGCATAGAGTAGGTGCTTGGTAATGATTAGTGTCATCCCTCTTTTATTCTCCTCCCACTCCCTGAATTACTGTCAGGTACTTTTTCTTAAGTAGAGATGCAATAGAAAGTCACCTGTGTGACCAAAAGACCTCCACCACAGCCCTCAAAAAAATTAATATCTTCTTGTCAGCATTCTAGGAATTTTACCTCCTCCAATTAATTATTTTGTACTCCTAATTGACAGGTATTGTAATTGTAGGTCCCTTCTCTACTGCAAGGGAGGTTTTGGCACTTTGTCCCAGAACAGAGAAAAGACAATCTTACCAGTTGAGCTAAGGGACCTAGTGAGTATTTGATGTCTCCTAAAAAGAAAGAAATGTTTCTCTTTGACAAATATATATTATACTGGGAGAGGAAGAAACTTTCCTCTACCCTCAAGATTCTTTTAGCTGGTCTAATAATCAAATTTAATACCTACATACGTATAGGAACCCCATATACATGAGAGAGTCAGAGACCCCACATGTATGACAAATTTAGAGACAGAAAGGGAACATGGGTATATTTGACATTCTGAGCTAGGGATGAAGTAAATTGCCTTGAGGGCTGCAAAGGATCATTGCAGGATGAGCAGAAGAGCAGATATTTAGTAAATAGAAGTTTTCCCTGCCCTATAGGTAGGTCAAAAGAGGTTATCTCTGATGGTCTCTTATTATTGGCCCCTAATTCAAATTCTCGGCAGTTAAGGGATGAGCAGAAGTTTCTCTTGAGCCCAGAGCTAAAGTTGCCTCTGGCTCAAAACAATCCGCATACCACAGAGGCACATCTTGAGGTGACTCATTCTAAACCCCCACTACACACACACACACACACACACACACACACACACACACACACACACACAGTACGTTTTTACTTAATGTTGTCAATAAGGTCTTGGAAATTATGACTTTAAAAGAAATGATGTACAACAAAACCAATTTATCACAAGCTAATTGATATAAACAAGAGTTAAGTTCTATGGCCACAAAAACATCACCAAACTTCTAAATAAAGAGCCCAAACACTTCTAAATTAAACACTAAAATAAATGTGAGCTATACTATAACATATGTTAAAAAGATGAATAAAAACAAGTAAGATAATTATTTTACAACCAACTTATTCCAGTTTAGGGGACAAGGCGGGAACCAGCCCTACATGGGACACTCTTCCATTGTAGAGTGCACTCATACCTCACCCCAGGCTCACTCGTACTGGGATGATTTAGATTTACCTAATGTGTGCATCTCTGGGATGTGGGAGGAAACCAGAGTACTGGGAGAACACCCATGCAAACATGGGGAGAATGTGCCAGTTGAGGAACACAGAGATGGTTCTTCTGGGAATTGATTTTTTTTTAACTCACCAACGTTATAACAAAATGATGTTGAATAAAAAGAGTTATTCAAGGACCTGCTATATATATTATATTTGTATTATTATCCAATAAAATATCTACCTATCTATCTATCTATCTATCTACCTACCTACCTACCTACCTATCTATCTCTCTATCTCTCTATCTCTCTATTATCTCCTTACACTGGTGTACTTGGTACACACACAGTCTTAGTCTATTTGGGCTGGTATAACAGAACATCATAAACTGGGTAGTTTAAACAACAGAAATTTATTTCTCATAGTTTGGAGGCTTGGAATTCCAAGATCAAGGCATTGGCAGGATTTGGTGTCTGGTGAGGAATCAGTTCCTGTTTTATAAACCACCATCTTTTTGCTGTGTCCTCACACCGTGAAAAGGGGAAGGCAATTCTCTGGGATCTTTATAATCCGAACCCTCATAACCTAATCACCTCCCAAAGTTCCCATCTCCAAAATACTATCACATTGGGGATTAGGTTTCAGCACATGAATTTGGGGGAGCCACAAATACTCAATCTATAGCTCATACGAATGCAATGGCGTCATTATACCAGAGATATCCTGCCTCTCTATACAGTGAATGTGTTTTTTTTACTACAGGCCTTGTTATTACTTAAAATATTTAATTACATTTTTAATAATAAAAATCTTGATACCAGGAACACTGTCACCAACATGGTCCAGTTAATTTCCTTCCTATGTGTACCCACATCAAGGTAGATACTTTGCACCGTAAATGGTTAATAAAGAGTTAGTTCATTTTGAACTAGTTATCTGAAAAAACTATTGGAAAGCCACAGCCACACTTTCACTTATATAAGTAGAGCTGAAAGGGTGAGGGCTATGCCCTCCATCTTGCCCCATATCCTCCATGTTGGGGTAGGAGCCATGTGCTCAGACCCCTTCTTCCCGGAAGCCCAGGCCTCTGCTGGCCACGCCTGGGATTTCTTTAAACTAACCAATGACAGTTGAGGGATGTGCGCGCCATAAGAATTACCGCATCCTATGTAACAAGACCCAGCTTGTGCCTGGCCAATCGGCAGGGCCCACAGTCCCCTCACTCCACCCCCTATTAAAACCCTGGTTTTTCTCATGGCGGTCTCTCTCGGCCACTTGGCTTGCCATTGTGTCGGTGAGTGTGGTGGATGGGGAGCTCAACCTAGCTTGAAATACAGACTCTTATGCTTTTGCATCGGACATGGCTGGCTCCCTGATGTGGTTTCTTGGGGATCCTGAAATCTGGGCATAACAAGAGCCATCCTAAATCACTGCAGGACCTAGGTAATTTGAGTCTAAGAAAAAAATAATCGTTCATTACAAAGTGTGAGAAATATTTTAGGGTTGATTTTGTTTCAGTGACAATGTGAGTTGAGCATTTATGAGAGCTGTGCAAATTACACCACAGAAGAGGCTAACCAGCCGTGGGCAAACTACGGCCCGAGGGGCGGAATCCGGCCAGTTTGAAATGAATAAAACTAAAAAAAAAAAAAGACCGTACCCTTTTATGTAATGATGTTTACTTTGAATTTATATTAGTTCACATAAACACTCCATCCATGCTTTTGTTCCGGCCCTCCGGTCCAGTTTAAGAACCCATTGTGGCCCTCGAGTCAAAAAGTTTGCCCACCCCTGGAACTCACATGAATTGTTTAAGAGCAATTAATTCACGTCCAAACTTCTTGTATCAACATCACCTATTTTCCCTAGACAATTTGTTTTAAAAATCAACCAAAAACTGTGATATTCCACCAACAAGACTACAAGGGTGAAAGAACAACCCCTTAGTCAAATGCAAATTGTAATCATATTAGTATGCTAATGAGGTAAGTGATAAACTGTGGGTCAAATTTCCTCTTGTTGGGCTTAAATAGCACTTGAAAAGGTTTATTCCCAAATGTTTGGGAAAGCTAGGATAAAATTTGGGAAAACAATTACGGTTTATTACATAAACATTATCTGTTCAGCAATATAAAAAATTAATAGATGAACTAAACTAAAATGAGACGTAATTTTTCCTAATGCTTTAGAAGTTATTAAAAAAAAAAAACATGGCTTAAAGAAAACATTTAATTATTCTAAATTTGGAGTGAAGCCTTTTCAAAAATTATTATTTTACAATTTTAAAAATTTAGGTCTGTTTTGTCTGGTTGAAGAAAATGTAAGAAGTTGCTCCTTACATTTGGGAGGAAAACAGTTGGGAGAAAAGGTTGAAAGGAGATATGTTTTCACAAGAAGGAATGTTTAGTGATGTCAATGTCTCTTTACTTAAGAAGCCTTTCTTGATTGAACTTATTCCCATTAGCTGATTTCACCCTTTCACAAAGCACCTATGCACTTTTATAGAATGTTTAATATTCACTCACTTTCATATGCTTATGTCATTTTATAAGTTCCTTAAAATCCAAAGCATGTCTGATTGCATTTTGCAGCATCCAGCTCAGTTCCTTGCCTTCTGGCCAGGTTTGGGGAAAGCCAGCTGAAGACCCAAGAAGACCAAGGGGTGTGGTGAAGAGAGCCCCCAAATGGGGTCACACGATCACCCCCCCCTTTTTTGTGTGACCATGTCCACCTCTACCCTCTTTGCCACTTCCACAAGCTATGTAACCATGAGCAAGTTGCTGAATTTCTTTAGACCTCAACTTAGACCAGTGGTTCTCAACCTGCCTAATGCCACGACCCTTTGATACAGTTCCTCATGTTGTGGTGACCCCCAACCATAAAATTATTTTCGTTGCTACTTCATAACTGTAATTTTGCTACTGTTATGAATCATAATGTAAATATCTGATATGCAGGATGTATTTTCATTGTTACAAATTCAACGTAATTAAAGCATAGTGATTAATCACAAAAACAATATGTAGTCATATATGTGTTTTCCAATGGTCTTAGGCGACCCCTGTGAAAGGGTCATTTGACCCCCAAAGGGGTCGCGACCCACAGGTTGAGAACCGCTGACTTAGACCCTTGTAAAAGGGCGATAATAAAGTTTTAGTGCAAGGCAGTGGTCTCAACCTTAGCTGCACAATGGAATCACCTAGAGAACTTTAAACATATTGATGACTATGTTCCACTGCTCAGAGCTTCTAAATTCATCAGTGGGGCTGTTGCCAGGGTATAGGGAGTTTTTAAACTCCCTAGGTCCATGGTCGGCAAACTGTGGCTCATGAGCCACATATGGCTCTTTGGCCCCTTTAGTGTGGCTCTTCCTAAGCCTTAGGAGTACCCTAATTAAGTTAATAACAATGTACCTACCTATATAGTTTAAGTTTAAAAAATGTGGCTCTCAAAAGAAATTTCAATCGTTGTACTGTTGATGTTTGGCTCTGTTGACTAATGAGTTTGCCGACCACTGCCCTAGGTGATTGTAATGTATAGATGAGGTCAAGAACCAGCACTCTAAGAGTCTTACAAAAATGAAATAAAACAAAGAAAAACAGTACCTGACAAGTAGTAGGGCAAAAGTCATTTGTTTCCTTTCTTTCTCTCCAACTGGTTTTCCTATTTGTGTTGGTGGTTGCTGGATCCTGGCTGGAAGCTAAGGGATAGAGGGAGAATTTTGTTCAATGATTGGTTTTATTTTTTTTTAACTTTTTATTTTGAATCTAGAGGCCCGATACACGAAATTCATGCAAGAATAGGCCTTCCTTCCCCCAGCTGCCGGCACCAGCTTCCCTCTGGCACCCGGGGCCTGGGCTTCCCTCCTAACCCCGGCTTCATCCGGAAGGTCAGAAGGTCGTCTGGTCTAATTAGCATATTATGCTTTTATTATTATAGGTCATTTTAAACTTACAAAAAAGTTGTGAGAATAATACAAAGAATTCCTATACACCCTTCATCCAGATTCATCAATCATTAACAATTAACTACATTTGCTCTATCACTCCTCCATATTCTCTATACACATATAATTTTTTTCTGAATTAGTTGAGATAGTTGCAGAAAACGTGTAACCAATCCATGTTTCTCTCCCCCTCTCTCCCTTCCTCTCTCTCTAAAAATCAATACAAACATATCCTCAGGTGAGGATTAAAAAGAAAAAGAAAAAAAAAGACAGATTGAAGCCATCAATCATAGTTACTAAAAATGCCTGACTCTAAAAGCAATACTACTGTGGAAAACAAAGTTGCATTTGCTATAATATAATTTGGAATCCCTTTAATACTCACTGTCTTCCCTAAACATTTACCTCATTTATCAAAAACCATTCACAACTGTAGTATTTAATTTAGAATAAACTGCATATACTAGATAGCCTATTGCTATAAATATTTGTTTTACTCTTCTAGCAGTAGCAGTGAAGAAGAAAACAGTCTTCTTTAACTTCATATGGGTAATCCTTTTAAGCAATTTCTAAATTGATGTAGGTTGACCTTTTAGTCATGGTTCATTTAAAAATAATATTAATAGTAACATTTATTGAGCACTTATTTACCAGGCCATATGCTAAATTGTTTCACATATATTTGCTTCACAGCACCGCTCTGAGGCTGAAATTATTATCTTTATTTTTGACATGAAGAGGTTAAGAAAATATTGAAATATTTTGCCTGGGCTAGTAAGCAATGGAGCCAGGATTCAAACTTGAGTCTCTCTAGGTCTAGAGCTTTTAAAAACTGCACAGATGGTCTCTCCACTTGACTGCCAAGTCAGGAAGGACCAGTGAAGGATATGGAACTTCAGCACTTTCTTGTCTTGTGAGGAAGGAGGATAATTTCCTCTACCCTTCTAGGTTCTTCCAGCTGGTGTAGTCACCAAATGAGACAACTTTACAAGAGAAAATAACCAAATTTAATTACATACCTACAAATGGGAACCCCATATACATGATCAGGGATCCCATATACGTGAGAGGTTCAAAGACAGAAAGTTAAAATGAGGTATATATGGCATTCTGAGCTAAGAATGAGTTAAGACACCATAGGACTTCTGAGCAAGGAAAGATCATTCACAGAATGATAAGAACAGATGTTCAGTAATTACAAGTTTGTCCTACCACATAGATATGCCATAAAATAGTGATTTCTGGTGATAAATCTTGTTATGGGTTAGGTCCCAAACTTAAAAGAAAGGTAAAGTTTCTTGTGAGCCCACAGGGTTACAACTGCCTTCAGCTCAAAATAATTCACATACCAAAGTGGCACACTTTGAGGTCTGCTCTGAAACCCTTTAGTCCCTAAGAATTATTTAAGCTTTAGGTTTGCCTCTGTCTTAGTCCATTCAGACTGCTATAACAAAATATCATAGACTGAGTGGCTTATAAACAACAAATATGTATTTCTCACAGTTCTGGAGACTGGAAAGTCCCACCATTCAGTGTCTGATGAGTTCCCAATTCCTAGTTCACAGATTGCCATCTTCTTGCTAAAAGCTCACATGGTAGAAGTGGCAGGAGAGCTCAATGGCATCTCTTTATCAAGGCACTAATGCCACTCCTTAGGGCTCCTAATACCATCACATTGGGCATTAATGTTGGGGTCCAGCCCCAGCAGGTCCAGGGGTTCCCAAAGGTGTGGACGGAGTCGGCGAAGAAGGAAGGACACGGAGACAGCGTTCAGTTGATCAGCATAGCGAGGTTCCTTTTTCTATTGTCCTGTTACATCTATATTTATACCATTTGATCCTATAAGCATGCCTCTATAATCCCATCATGGTATGTTTTGGGTAACGTTCTACAGTTCCTTGTTTCTTATCTGACCTTTGCCAAAAATCCTGTCTCTATCTAGTCCTGTTGATTTTAATCTTGTCTAGGCTAATCTCTGTGTTTCCATTACAAGGGCTATTCCAAGGTCACTGCTCTACTGATAGACTACAAGGAAGTGACTGAAGGAGATTATCCTACCCAGTAAAGGTTATGTCCTCCCAGCCTCGCTGCTTGCCTTCCTTGGGACTGCCCTGTGTCTCCAGGGGTATAGGCTTTGGTGCTTTCCCTGGTGGGCAGACCCCTGGGATGTGGGCCCAACAAGTCCCAAATTTATTGCCAACAGTCTTAGTCCAAGTTCTTCATAAGTAGTACATGGTATTTCTGTAACACTAGGGGGATTTACTGATTTATTCTCTTCCTTAGTCCTGTTAATCCCTAACCTGGGGAAACAACCTTTCTTGGGGAGGTGGTCCTGTTTAAAACACATAGCGCTAAGAGGGGGGAGCAAACATATGCCATATATGCCAGGTCCCTTGAAACATAAGCTGTGCAGATGTTTCTTCCCTGCAGTGACTGTGTCAAGCAGCAAGGGTGGACTGGCATCCGGCAAATTCCCCCATTTTTATTTTTTAAATGACAGCGTGTGTAAATCAGCGGCCACCTCTCGGATTGGGTTGTTTAAGACTCGGAAGAAGACTTGTTTGTGATTTTGCTAACAGGTCAGTCCGAGGCTTAACCCTATATCGGCTCCCCACACATTAAGTTTCAATGTTTGAATTTTGGGGAGAAACAGTCTATAGCAGCTCCTTTTGTTAGCAATATATATATAGTTTAAAATGTATTTGAATGGAGTTTCATTGGCCACATTCTGCGCCCTAGTTTCCCCATCTTTAAGCTCAGACAAGGGACCTAGAACATTGATTTCTAAGTTTTTAAAAATTCCAACTCTCTAAAGGCAGAATATATCCCATCACTAACAGGGATTCATTGTAGTAGAAGTTCTCAATGAGGTAGAAGTGGAAGAGACCTGGGAGTTTGACAAAGGCTGGCCCTGAAGATTCTGGTATTACTTCCGCTCATTCTGTCAGGTTATTGGTTTTCAAACTATGTTCCTTGAGGAATAGAGGATGCAAATGCCTAGGTTTTCCCAGCCCTTCCCTGCCTTTTAGAATCTGCCCATCTTCAACCAGAGCAGGTCCCCTTTGATCTATTTAATAGAGTTGGGCTCCAGGTAAGAATTCATTCAAACAAAATAACCCACAACTATTCTACGTTGAAGACTCTAAAAGCTACTATGCTAATTCAGTGCTTCAAATTCTCATACTTTAATGTGTATATGAATCACCTGTGGGATCTTTAAAAATGCAGATTCTTATGCAGTGGGTTTGGGGTTGGGCCTGGGATTCTGCATTTCTGATGCCAATGCTGCTGAGTATGCTCAGACAACATTTTGAATAGCAAGGACTAGAATGATCTCTAAGGTTTTTAAAACTCAAATCATTTTTCTACTCAACCAAAGACTACTTATGAAAGATTTTCTCCGCAATAATCTTAAGTTTACCAAATGTAAATTCTAGATTTCATCTCCTCCTATCCCCCCAAGTCTCAGTCTATCTGCCTCAATCTTTTCCATCTAAATGTCCCATTCTCTCAGGTCCTCTTTTCTCTCTTGCTCTCTCTTTTGAAAGTTAAATGACATTTAACCTTCTGGACATACATTTAAAAATCTTTTTGTAAAGTGAACATTGTGCCTCAGCCAGTTCATCTCACCAAGAACTAACTGCGCAGGGTCTGGGAAATTTGCCACAAGTGAGTTATTTAAAGGTAGTTAGGATGACACACTCTCCTAAATTTAGTATCTTAATGAACTTCTCCAGATTAAGAAGTAACTGTCTCACACTCTTTCACCTTGTGTTCAAAATTTAGTGCATATTTGAGAGTTTGATTATATTTCCTATGTTAGAGCCTTCAGTTTCTTTCTCAAAATACTTCCTCAGTTGCCTTTTTCTCCATATTATCCTTTTTCTGCAAAAAACAAAAACAAAACAACTCTCAAGTTTTAATTACAAGGTCTTAAGCATCTAAACAGCACTACATCCCCACATCTAACTGTCTAATGCAAGGGTCAACTAACATTTTCTATAAAGTTCTGGATAGTAAATATTTTCAGCTTTTCAGTTCATATGTATTCAATTCTGTCCTTGTAATGCCAAAGCAGCCATAGACAATATGAAACTTTACTTACAAAAGTATAACAAAAGTGTAAGGCAGGCCAGATTGCCCCCTGGCCATAGTTTGCTGACCCTTGATTTACATGCATGTTGAAACTGTACCAGTCAGATTACAGCTCCTGGTAATATGGAATTGAGATCCTGAGATGGAGTTAAGTAATAACTGTAGGTTGCTAAGCTGGAAAGTTGGGCAAACTGGGTGGTGTGGCCAGAGGTGGAGCTGGGGCCACTATTTGGGACAGCAATAGTAGCCTACATGCAAGCAGATAAGTGAGCAGAAAAGCCAGTCTGCTGAGGAAATGAAGCAGCCATACAAAGAAAAGCTAAAACTAGAAATCAGCCAATGAGAAAGAGAAAGGGGAAACAAGACTTCTTGTAATGTTAGCTGTGCTTCCCACAGTTGTGTCTCACATAATCCCTGCCTATTTTTATATTTGTTGCTCCTTTATTTTAGCCAACTGGCATGAGTTTCTGTTTCTTGCAACCAGATAACTCTTAACTCCAGCAACCTTTTATACATCTGACATTCCAAATGACCGCAGTTCTCTGATGAACAGTCAAGCTCTCACACAACTAGGCTTTGCTAGGTGCAGTTTCACTTTCCACCCACACATAGCCACTATTCCACATTCTTCAAACTTTGCTCAGGCATCACCTCCTGAG